GTGGGGGTGTGTGTGCGCGTGTGTGTTATTTACAATACCTTTCACTAAGCACTAGCTAAGTATGTGATTTTCCGTAGAGCTGTTTCTCGGTAGTAGAGAGATTTCCTGAAACCCTTTCTTCACCCGCAATCTTCAAAAGAAATTCTTTCATGCTGGCATTAGACTGTGACCCCTTCTTAACATAACTTCCCTGCTTTTGCAGTTCCGATGGGAAACATTTTTATTATCAGCAGGGATGTTCTACACCTGAGAGGGACAGGTAATGTCTGGTTCCAGATTAGACTAATATAGGGCTGGAAAAGCAGACTGTGGAATTATGGGAGGCGAGGGGGAACATTGAAACAACAGCCCCAGATAAGCCCCTACTTAGCAAAACTTCAGAGCTGTTAAGACGCAAAGCATGAACAACTGGTGAGAAGCTCCCAACCTGGGGTACGAGGCAAACTGTTAAACTTGTTTTGCTACACAAGGATGAAATGGAAAATGCTGGGCATGAAGGGTTCTTGCCTGGACAGAAAGTCTCTCTCTGAGCTACTGACTGTAATGGTCCACAGCCAAACCTATGCTGCAAGAGCAAAGACTAAGTCCACGCTGTCTGCCCTGCATGCTGAGGCTGTGCCAAACACCGTGGGCTATGGGCAGAGATGGATGCGGCCCGTGCCAGCAGCAGCTTGTCTCTCACGTGTTTGGTGTGAAACGCTGTAAACCAACCCAGAACTTCCACACGAGTGACAGCTCATGAAGGGTATCAAAACCCAGCCGCTCTGTCAGTGGAAACACAACGCGGTGCCAGGTGTAAGGGCTGCCACCAGCCTCCCACTCTCTGTCTCTCCAGCAAGTATCTCAAACGCAGGGAAAGAACACCTCAGGCAGGGGCTGTGTTGCACCTTTGCAGCGGGCCTCTTGCTCCCATGTCTGTGAGGGCAATTTTCAGGACAGACCCTTGTGGCTGAACACAAGGGATGTTGGTAAAGGGAAGGAGGGGGGAGCCTTCGAATGAACTTCTTGGGAGGTTAATTGCCAAAGATAATCTGTCATGAAGGAGTGATATGGGGGCCAGTTGTGCTGCTCGTCAAGCCTTCAAGAGACACAGGCGAGCCCTGTAGCCCTGCAGAAGCACGATTATGTCCAGCTCATTTGTCACGCAGTAAATCCATCTGTCTGAGCTGAAAAGCTCCTACCATTCAGAGAGCGCAGAGTGATGCCTCTTATATGAACCTGAAGGGACAGAGAGCTGGGAAGTGCAATGCTTTCCCTTACGTTTGCTCAATCACCATTTGAGAATCACAAGACGCCTTGGTTGAAAATGAGTACGTGATTTTTAGACCTGCTCTCCATTCACTGACAACCCACACATGGCAACATATGCAAAGTGGCCCAACACAGTCATTAGAGTCAGAGGAGCCTCTAATCAAGCAGCAAACAAGGCCACTGCCTGGTCTCACCCCAGTCAGTTCTACAGGAGAGCTGTACTGTCACAAGCCTGCGGCAAAAAGATCAGCTTTCCTCCAGACTTACATTTCCCACTGGAGCAGACCTTGTAAGGAAAGGCCATAGAAATCTCACACGTAGCTATACTACACACATATATCATACATATAAGAATAAAAACAAGTATGTGTATATGCACATATAGGTTTTTTCCCCAGTCTGCTTGGCATCATAAGAATTCCTCAGCCCTGGATATCCTAACAATCCAGCTAGCACGCATTTATGGTTTGCCCTTTAAGACAGGTGTTGTTTGCATTTATTTTAGTAATAGGGAAACTGAGGGCCAAAGCAAAACCAACAGACCCCAAGCAGCAAATGCAGAGCAGCCTCCAGCTCCTTTGATAAAGTATTTGGACAATTTAGTTCACGGCCCGGCTTTGCAAGACAGGAAAAGAAATTCAGCTGTAAGGGGTACAGAGGCAGTGCCTCTTTAACAGGCTTCTCAGTGCACCACTGGCACTTGTGGCTCTGGGAACTGAAAAGCCATCCCAGACAGCCAGATCAAGAAGTTTGAATTTGAATTTTTCAGTATTACTCCTTTAAAAATGCTATTTCCTCACTGCTGATCTTTAAAATGATACAGAAAAGTCACACCTGGTAATGTCATATCATCAGAAAGAAGCCAAACTGTATTCCTCTGTGTCCAAGAGAGTATCATTGGTGGACATGCTATAGAGATATTGCATGAACTTCTGGAGCAACAGCTACTATCGCTGCCAAGAGAATGAGCATTAGTCTCCAGGAATCCGCAGTCAGCTCTGGTTAGACATAAGTCAAAGTCAGACTGAAAGATTTTCATTATACTCAGCTGTGGCAAATCCCTTCTCAGCTGGTTTTGTGACACATAACCACATCTGCTGAGTCTCAACAGACACGATGCAGCTGCTGCTAACAGCTCCAGAAAAAGGTCCTAAATACATCAGGGCACAAAGAGGCTAAAAGGTTTCTTCAGCACCACCTGAGTTTTGGTGTGGTACGCATCTCCTGCCATGAAACAGAAATAACACTTCCCTTAACACCAAGCACTACAGTGCAAATTCCCTGGGGTAACTGATGTTCTCCCCTTCTCTGGGTGGTGAAAGCTCCGGATAAAAAAAGAAAAACAAAAACCAAAAAACCACACCCAGATCAAGATATAAATGCACTGCTGTTTAAGCAGAAGGGTGGGGGGCAAAATTGCTACACTGTTAAAATATTTCTGTGAGCTAAAATATAGGGATGAAGCAGACATGCAAAAGAATGAGTCGGGCCTGACACAGCGATTGTGCAAGGATGGTGAGGAAGTTAGATTTAGATCTTAGCCATCGAAGGATGTTCCCTTTTCACCATTTGCTTTCTTAGTCTCTTTTGCCCTTCGCTGCACTTAGGAAACTCAATCTGCCTTGTTCAATTTTATTTTTGCTTTCTGTTTCCCATCCTATCCATCTTTTGGAGACACAATGTTGCTCTTAAATCTCTGCTTCCAGTCCAGCAGGAAAAATTACAGTACAAAGCAGCTGCTAAATAAAGGAAGTGTTCCGGTTCAGCTATTTCTTTTCCTAAACTTGAGTGCAGAACAAGTATTATTTTTCAGCATACACTCCCACTGACTCCATGATAGGGACACTGGAAGACACAGTGTAATTTCTCATAAGTTAACAGCTACGAGTTGTGGGTCACTTCAATAGGCCTATGGCATCGCTTAATTTAGTGGGATTTAATTGCATATTGCACCAGATGACTGGAAGTGAATACTGAAACCCAGGGTGTAATTACATATCACCAATTATCTTACCAGCTGTTTGTTGAAGTTCTGCACACACTGTTCAAACTGCTCATCTTTTGTTTCATCTGCTTTCCCAAGCTTCTGAAGGACCTGCAGGAAGAGAAGAGAAAGATAGGAGACTTCAAACACAGATACAGCAAAGCAGAGACAAAGAAACAAGTTTTTGCTCATGAGGCTGAAAGAAGGAAAAGTTTAAAAGTCTCCCTTATTCTTGCACTCAGAATTTCTGGAATATTTCTCTGCACAGTCATAGTTTGAAAAAGGACTTACAGACAAATTAGGATGAACTCAGACCTCATACTTTGCTGTACCAAAGAGCATGACTGAGGTTTGTCATTCACTGGTATAATGTTTTTTGCTGACAAAGCAATAGCAATGGTGGTGTTTATCTCCTGGACGAGCAAGAAACAAACCACATCCCTAATATGCCTTTTGTGTTGTGTGGTTACACTTCTCCTGGTTTAACACTAGTCTCTGGTACAGACAGGGTAGATTTTTTTTTTGCTCCCAGAACAGCTGGACTGTCCTCAAAACACAGAAAGCCATGCACAGACCTCCTTAGAGAGAGAAGGAGGCTGGAGCAGTGAAAATCCCACCTTTTCTCACTGTGTACATGCTTGGCAGGAGCTGGCTGTTGAGAGCAACTGGGGACCTTACACCATGAATCTACGTGATACTCAGTCATGCTCAGTCTAAGTGTCACGTCTGAGAGTGTCAGCAGCCAGCCCTGTTCCTGCCTCCCTGCACAGCACAGCTCCCCACAGCCTGTAAAAAAATCCTTATCAGACTACTTCCCTTATCACACTTCTCTCTTAATGATCTCCCCATGCAGTTAAGTGGATCACTCCCAGGCTTTGAACAAAGCACTTCATTTTCTGGGCAGGAAGGTAGGTCCATCACAAGAGGGCTGGGGAAACCACAGCTGTGGCGGAGGGCAGCAGTTACTTGTCATGCCCCAAGCAACTCCAGCAGCAGGGAGGCAAGGATGTAAACTATAGCCAGTTCAGCTCAAATACAGCAACTTCGTTAATCAACAATAAAACCTGACCATGCCAAAAAAAAAAAAAAAAAAAAAGGCAAGCAAGCCTTGTCTCACAGGGCCAGCAAGAACAGAGAAAAGCCCACCCAGTCCTCAGTAACAGGAGGTTCTGGGGAGCAAGAGGTGGGCTAGAAAGGGTGCTGAGGGAACACCTCAAAAAGCAAGGGAGCCCTAGCTGGCAAGAGCATGACTGCCCAAGAGACAGAAAGACTGGAAAGCTGAAGTGTCTCTTGCTCTGCTGAGCGCAGCAGTCCTTTAGCCACAGGTCACAGCCATCATGTTCGGCCCCTCTTGGACAGAAGAGGGTCAAGATGGAAAGGCAGGTGCATGCTACTGCCATCAGGTCTACAGGAAGGCCACTAGGAAGTATCTCCAGAGCAGCCACTCTGAGGGACTGCCAGGTAGTCATGACAGCCACCCAAACCAGCTTCCTCCAGCTCCTTCTCCTACCCATGGATCTTCTCACAGAATATAAAGAGGACTTTTCCCCTGCAGGGCAGTGATCAGACCTCCATGTTTGGTCCCCCAAATGGCATTGAGAAGGTCCATGCAACAGGAAGTAGAATAGAACAGAACATTTTCACTTGGAAGGGACCTACAACGATCATTTAATCCAACTGCCAACGTACCTACTAGCCCGCTCTCATCTTTTTACACAGCCAAGCTAGAGGACATTTGTGTTATGTCTATTTGGCTAATCTCAGTTGCCCTCTCCTGCATACAAGCGCACATGTTCCCAGCTCACCCCTGACTGCAACAACTGACTCTGGCACTGGACACGATAAATCAGGGCAGTCATTCAGCACCCGGCTCATAACTCCCCTTTTACTTAGGCTAGGATTTAATGTATAGAAGGGAATCACTGTTTTTCATTCTCCCTCTGTTCAACAGTCTCTCTTCACCTCCAGGAATCACTGAGGTATTCATGTCAGCATAAGTGGGGGAAAGGACACATACAGATGAAGATTGTCCTCTTTGCGTCCAAGAGCTGAACCGAAAACCTCCAGACTTAGAAGCACAACTTTCTGCAGCTCAAATGACAGCAGCAAACACTGCAGTTAGAAGCGCCTAAAGCACTTGGTAAACCTGTCTATGCAACAGGATGTAGAAAGCATAAATATTCCCTTCCTCCTCTCAAACCCTTGGCACAGAAGAGCCTGTTGGAGAGCAGAAGCAGCAACATTGGTTGGACAAGCAGAGTCCTGTACACCAGCCTTGTTCTTCTGCTCCAGTGAAGGGGAGCACATGCCACAGCAACGCCACTGAGGCTACACATTTCTCTGCCATGCCGGCAGGAAAGAAGGATTCAGTGTGGCCTCGTCTTTCTCATCAGGTGGTATGGTGAATCTCTTCTAGAAAGGATGCTGCTCAAAGGCCATATGTTCAGCTTTACTCCCTTGGGTACGAGATCTATGGAGCATGGATTTCCCACCTGCTGGGTGACTTCCTAGATGTCCAAAAAGCCATAACACCAGTAGTACACATCATCAATACATGAAGTATGCAAGCTGCAAATTCCAAAGCTGGAATGATGTTCCCAATGTGCAGATCAACAGAACTGTTGGGGATACAATGAAGCTTTTTACGGGGCAATGCATCTGTCTGGCAAGTCAAGAGACATGATGCTTTCAGGCCTGGAGGGGAGGGAAGGAAACCATTTAACTGGGAGGAATCTGGAGTATGTCACCAGGGTCAAAGGTTTAGAACAGCCTCAGTGCTTCCTGGTGTAAAACACTGAGCAGCACCCACAGAGTATTCATTGTGGTGGCCGTGCGCCTGCTTCCCATGTTATCTGCAGTTCCACCACTCCTCTGGGACAAGCACACCGAGTCTGGGGTTATCCAGCCAGCTGTGAAGATCTTGTTCCATTATGTTGAGGTGCTCTGCACAAATCCTGCAAAACACTGGGCACTGGAAAGGGCTCTAACTCACAGCCTATCTCTAAGGGAAAAACTCCTGCTGTAACAGCAATGCTTACCTGAGGAGCAGCTCTGAACGAGGGGGGAGGAAGTAATAAGAAACCCTGCATTTTTCCACAGTAGTGACGACATGGGGTGGGTGAAACAGAGGACTCAGGGACGCGAACGAGCAGAGGAACAAGGCAAGGAAAACAAAACTAGTTACAAGAAAGAGGCTGTGAGAAGTGAATCCCCGGCTACACCAAAAATCTGCTCTTGCTTCCTACACTCTTCCCCCACCTGGTAGATGAAGGCTTGTGCCCCAACGCCCACTGGCCCTATAGGCGAGTCCCAGCCATACAGCCCACTCTGATCCTTTTATTACTTGCTATGACACAGCAGAGAGACAACAGCCCCAGGCTGCAGCAGGGCAGGGGTTATCTTCTCATATCGCTCTCCCTCAAAAACAGATCTGCCCCATACAAACAGCCCAGAGGTCAAACCCTAAGGTCATTGAGCAGCATAAAATGATGGCTCCACAAGGCTGGCCCTCAAGCCTGCTCCCAGCGCTCCCATCAAAGAGCCATACAGGCAAGCTGTGTTAACAAATCCTTCTGAACCTCCTAAACCAGCCTGGGATGGAGCAGATGGCCCTGGGTGTGCTGCTGACTGCAGGCATGTCTGTGCTCACTGCTAATAACCCGTGAGCTCACAGGACAACTCCCCACCCCAGGCTGGTACGTGCCGTCATAGGTCAGGCTATTCCGGGTAAGCGACGGCTGCTCCCTCCCTTCCCCTGCAATGGTCTTTAATCCTCCAGCTTGCTGCAAATCCAGATAAAGTTCGGATGGAAACTTCAGGCTCTTTGATAGCTATTAATGGAGCAGATTTACCAGGGTAAGAGTCAGGACCCCGCTACGGCTCCCAAATCTCAGGGTGGATCAGAGATGGTGTGATCTGTCAGCTGCTGTCTGGAGGCAAACCACACCGGGCAGCGGGCATGGATCTGGCATTTAAAAGATTAAGAAGCAACCATGGCTAGGCTCCTTGGTCTGCCCTTGACCTGGGAAGTCCTAGCCCTGCATAAGGATAGGGACTCATTTCAAGATGGTGCAAGCTGGGGTGAAGGAGGAAATACTTGTATGAATCCCACAAAACACCTTGTGGGATGGATTTCAGAGGGGCTCCAGCATTGCTGTGGGTTCCAGTCTTGGCTCACTATGGATTCACTACGACAGGATGGGGACGTTTTTCCAGCCAATATTTTTGGCCTCAGACACCGGACATATTTGTACACTTAAACACCATTTTCCAGCATTGCTCAGAAACCAGGTCTCTTCCAACAATTAGCTAGATCTGCAGGTGCTCTGCGTTTCTCATAAACTAGGATCACAGGCACCTGACCAACTGCTGCAGCATCTCCAGAGCCAAATCCCAGCCATGGACCCCCAGTTTTCCCTTCATTTGAATAAAAGCAACAAGGAACAAGGAGATTCAGAGTTTGACTGAAGTTTTAAAAGCACTTTAAGATCCTAGGAGGCAAGATGCTATTACAAAATAAGTAAATTATCACATTCCTCTCATATCATGGATGTATTTGTAATCTGCTGATGCAGGCAGAGCTATTTGCAGGAAGTTTTGAATTGATGTATTTTCAGAAGTGAGGTAACACAGAAGAAGTGACAAAGAAATCTGGAAATCCTCTGTATCAGATCTGGCATTCTGCTAGGAATGGTCAGAGAAGTAAAGGCATGAAATAGCCTTTAAAACCAGCAACTTTTCCCAGCAAAATGGAAAGTTTGCTTAGGGAAATCTGAGCTGCAGGCTTTTCTCAAAAGCAAGACTGTAAGATTCACAGGATGACTGAGCATTACCTAATCACCAGTTTTGCAGGACTCAAAAGGAAGCATCTCATCTGGCTACAGTTTACCTTCTTTTTTCTAGGTGTATGGGCAGAAGCATCCCCAAAAGGCAAACCCCTGCACTGCTTAGCACAGAGCGTCCCATGCTCTGCTCTGAGCACCGGGCATGAAGGAAATGGAGATCTGGAGATCAGCCCTGTGACCACCAAACTCCCTGATGTAGAACAGTGATCTCCATTAAGGACAAACATTTGCCAGCAGCGCAGCAGCAGCTAGCATCAAGAAGCAGTA